ATTTAGGTGTTAGACATGTAAATCTATAAGAATTAATCGGATTGCAATCACGAAAATTAATTTATTAGAATATGCGGATAAATGTTAAGATTCAAATGCGCCGCTTATAAATTTTTTAATGGCATGGTCCATTTCGATGATGGTTCACACATACGAACAATTAGTTTGAGGGATAAATAAATGTCAGGTCCAGCTTCATCGGAAAGACCCCTATGAAGCCAGTTGTGATCGCCGGCACATGCATGTATAATATAAAAAGTAAGTTGGGATTGTCTGATTGCTATATAGTTAACATGAGACTATGGGAGCAAGCTCACATGTTCTTGAAGCAGAAATATTATTTTATTATTTAATATTATTATATGTATTATAAAATTATTTATTCATCTCTGATATTCCTTAAAAGAACATGTGAGCTAATATTCTCTTGTTAGAGGGGTACTAAACCTCTTAATAGAAGAAACTAATTATGACAGTCTGTTGAATCTAAATCTTTCATGTAGGCATGCCCAATGAATAAAGCATAATGTCGCAGACTAACTTATCTCAAGTCACCCGTACGGTTTTAGCGGACTAAATCAGCCTAATCCTCACAACACTTTGGTTTGTAAGCATAAAACAATCTAGGAAGAACAGTATGGAGAAGTGGTGGAGAAAAAAACATTTCACTAAGAAAGTGTGATTACAAAATTTGAATGCTCAAAAACCTTGGATGTTTCTTGGATGAATCCAAATGAGAGGGAGGGATTTCTATTTATAGTCCTCCCCAAGCTTAAAGAAACTTTCAGATTATTAGAATATATTATCTTCTCAAATAGTTCTACATTGTTTTTTACATATACATGTTTCTAAAACTTTTCAGAATATTCTGGAGTTCTCTTGAAGTTTGCTTCTTTCAGCATATTTTTTGAATTATGTGAAACATTCTATAATTCCTTAGAATATTCTTCTTCTTTCTAGTTTTCCTAGAATGTCGTGGAATTTTCTAGAGTCTCTGGATTGCTCTCTTCATTATGATCTTCTCTAGAATCTTCATTTCCCATGGTTAGCTTGTCAATTATTCTTGAGGATAGATGAGCATGACACTCTCCCCCACTTAAGCTCGTAATGCCCTCATTGCGGGTTCCACTTGATACCAACGATTTTTTTTTCTTTTTTCAAGTGTCTTTATGTCTCAATTTCTTGTCTGCCCATTTTGTAGTTCTTTTTGTAGTCTCACGCAGTGACACTCGGACTAGCTCTCTTTGCTTGCTCACAGAATTGACATTAAAGCCTTTCCATGTGATGGTCTTCAAAACCTAGGGAATGAAGGAATGAGTTTCTTCATTCTATATAACTAAATGACTTTGCTTCTTCCATCAAAAGAGAGGAGTCGCCAAGAAAATTGTGAGATTGTTACAATCTCGGCTGCATTGGGTTTTAGAGCTAATGTTATGGAGGTTTCGCTCTTGGATTTGTTGGGGATCACAAAAAAACAAGCAGCGTAACCTACGGGGCCTCCTCAAACACATAAATTAGCCTTATCCTATCTAACCCAGAACCTAGAGGCTTGCTTGAAGGAAAAATCAAGGGTTTAGAGGAGTTTCTCACAGCGCGAAGGTTGAAGAAGGGTTCTCTTTGCTTGCTCCTTGCTCTGAGTTTGAAAGGACAAAGCTCCCCTTCTTCCTTAAAAGAGATGGTCTCCTTCTCCAATGCAACTCCTCCATGAAACTCCCTCAAACACTTGAATAAATGGTGGAGAAATGAGGACAGAAAATACATAAGAGAATTATTACAGAAAGGAGGTGGAGTTTGGGCTGAAGAGGAAGAGGAGGAAGAAAGCTATCTTCTTGCCTTGCCAGAAGCTCTCCACTACCTAGTAGTCCAAAGAGCTCCATGGAAAACAACATTTCTCCTCACCTTTTTTTTGAAAATGACATTCTCTCTTCTTCTCCAAAGCCTTTAAAGTGTCTAAAAGTTGGCCACATTGCTACTTTTGCCTCCCCCCCATGCATATCCTCTTATTACGCAAGATAATATGTGCTTTTAAGCTGCTTGGTGGGGTGGTTACGGCTTAGATTCAACAAAAATAATGAGAAAAAAAGGGTTGTCAAAGCGGACGCCTCGGCGCCAGGAATGAGTGTCGACTTTCTATCCTCTCGAATTTTAGAACTAATTTGGAGTTGTTTCAGGTGCCTAAGGGCTCCGATTGGTCGTCGACTTTGCGGTTTCTCGGTTTCGGACCCTCTAGAGGCTATTACGAGTGCCTAAGAGCCTGAATTAGCATCTAAGCGCCAGGCCTGACGCTTAAGCGCATGGATTGGGCATTGGTTTTGCAGGTTTTCGATTTCGGGGTCCCCGAGGGCTATTTTGTGCGCTTAGCACCTGAGACTGGCGTCGGAGAGCCGGGGCCTGATGCTTAGGAGGCTGGACCGGGCGCCGACTTTCAAGACTCTCGATTTTGAGCCCTGTGGGAGCAGTTTTGGGTGCCTAGGCCTAGGTGCCTGACAATTATCCATAAGTGTCAGTCTGGCCAGGTAAACTCGGGTGAAGGGTTTTCTCAATCCGTAATGTATAGGAGAGTATGTATGACTAAAATGTGGTCCCATAACTCCAAAATATGAACATGTTTACAACGATTATATCTGAGACTTTAATGTCAACAGGCACCCTAAAACATTGTGCAGGCGCATTGCTCTAAACCCTGATCTTTTCAAAAACACGTGTGGGAGGGTTTTACGGATCTGTTCAGCTACGAGAAGCTAAGTGCGAACGTTATATGCTCCCAAAACATTCAAAATTGCGTCCAATTGATGCAACATGAAATTTATTTAACCATTTAATAGATGGTACAAAGCCTTAAAATGTTCTCTATAATGGCTTAATTTGGCAACGCAGATTGAATTAATTTTGATATTATTGGAATCATCTTGCCATGATGGTCAGTTTGATTATAAACTTCTTAAAATTAGAGCCGCGATAATCTTAAATTTGAATTTTGAAAATCCTACATAAAAAAATGCATTGATTCATGCTTGATAAAAAAATTGTTTAGGTTTAACTTCTACTTAAATCAAATTTGGTGCATTACGTTTAAGTTAAAACGAAATAGTGACTTTAAACAACAATCAAGCATAATCAAGGTTCTGTTAAAACATGTAAATGCAAGCGTCCACGTTATGCACAGAAATACAAAGAATGGGCATTTATATAAATAACACCCATTTCTTATGCATTTACATATCTAACATCTAATCTCGTCTTTATATTTATACCATCCAAATCTCTCATGTCATATAAATAAATATTATTATTTTAACTTTTAGAAAGTCTCACATAGATAAGGTGTTATATATATATATATATATATTAAAACATATTTTTCTATTTCATTTGGATTACTTTAGGGATCAGCTTTAAGCCCATATCATTTTGCTTTAGTTATGGATGGTCCTACTGGACATATACAGGAGGATGTACCTTGGTGTATGCTTTTTACAAGAGGATATACCTTGATGTATGATTTTCGCTAATGATATCCTTGCAGATAAGATTAAAGAAAGAGAAATTGAATTATGGAGGCCTACTTTGGAGTTTTAAGGCTTTTGCTTGAGTAGAACTAAAACTTAGTACATGGAATGTAATTTTAATAGTAGTAGCTCCAATGACATATTTGTAACTATAAGTGATCAAATTATTAAAAGGTGTGAACGCTTTAGATATCTCAGGTCTATTATTCAAAGTTATTGTGATATAGACGGGGATGTTATTAGTAGAATTCAAGTTGCTTGATTGAAGTGGAGTAATGCTTCGCCATATTGTGTATTAGAAAAGTACCACATAAATTGAAAGGAAAATTTTATAAAATGGTAGTGAGACTTGCAATGCTCTATGGAGTAAAACGTTGGCCTTTAAAAGAGAAGCCTAACTTAAGTGTTGCCGATATGAGAATATGCTTAGGTGGATGAGTGACTTTATACAGATACAATGTGAAAGGAATATATCTGTGATAGGGGGCTTAGCTCTAGTGGCAGACAAAATTAAAAAGAGTCATATTAATGATTTGGCCAACATTAAATGTAGACTATCTAAAAATCCGAAATGTTTTAGATTCGACTTATGTTAAAAAAAAAGACTAATCTAGAAAAACTAGGCAATATGGTATAAAAAATGATCATAATTTATTAGAATGAAAAAAAGACTAATCTAGAAAAACTAGGGCATATGGTATAAAAAATGATCATAATTTATTAGAATGAAATGAAAATATGATACTCAATAGAATGCAATGGAGAAAAATGATTCATGTAGCCAATCCCACTTAGTGAGATAAAGGAATGCTCGTGTTGTATATATTAATGCTCGTGTTGTATATATTATTAAGGCATAGGAATTAGATACGTAAATATGTAGGAAATGAGGGCTATGAATTTAAATCTTCCTACAAAGAAATATATAAACAAATGCTTAAAAGCATTCTTCCTCACAGGCATATGGCATTTCAACGTTCAGTTGTACCAGCTTCAATCGATTTAATACTAACGCATTAAAGCTCAATTTAAGTTGGACTTGATATGACTTGATTTGAAAAAAAAAAATGAAAAAAAAAATCAATTTACAATCGATCTTTCAATCTTTCAGAAAAATTCATAATCATGCAGTCACATAATGCCATAAAAAATTGTCTAAAAAACAATTTCAGAATCACAATTCTAAGTAATTTAGTGATCAATACTCTACTCCAACTTCATGAATCTCACTAAAATTTTCAAATTACCAAAATATCGTCTATTAAAATATTAGAAGAATAAATTAACTACAGCAAACGAGAAACTCAGCAAGTACATACATAGCATTCAAATCATTGCTATTTACAAATCATCTATTTCTCAAATTCTCACTCAAATTTTCAATGATTTGATCATGACATGCATAAATGCATCAATTCGGTATTTCACATAAAGCACATTGCTGCTAATTTTGTAAATAACAATATTTCTAGTGGTGCATGTAATTATCCCAAGAAAAAAAAATCAACTTTACTAGCAAAAGATTACACAGAATACACTTCAAACAATTTCATAAGCAAACCCAACAGCAAATGGACGCTATCTCCTCATGCTTCCCCAATTTAACGCAGTTGGATCCACATAATAAAGAAAAAAATAATCTTCCATAAAAAATGAATTCTCAATAAAGAACAAGCAGAAACCGTAACAAAATATTCACAGAAAGTATTTTCACATATCACTCAACTTCCAGCTTCCCACTTTCTGAAATTAATGTGCTTTCACAGACAAATGACCGCAACAATACATCAATGAAATAGAAGTTTTTTTGCCAGACGCACCTTTTGTTCATTTTCCTGTAGGATGCATTGTTTGGATCGTCGGAGCAGTTGTATCCGTCCATACGAGAGGAGTCGAGCCATTAGACCTCTCTCGGATTTCCCTGTACTCTTGGCATATGGCACAGAGGTGGCAGAACAGGTGAGTTGTTAAATCTCCACAGGGGACTTCCTGAAAAATGAAATCCTCTGCATCAACTGCTTCATAAAACTTATATCATGTTAAAGAAAATGATACTCAAATGCTTTCATATATTTTAACAAGACTTCTTCAGGGGCACGACATAAAGATCAACAGGCATTATGGGTTCTGAAAGCCTAAATCAGCAAATGAAACCTAATCCATCTGTCATAGTGGTCTAACTAGTCCACGGCAAATAAGCCACTAGAAAAAACCATCGTTACTTCAGAGTACATGCGTCAATCCTTATTTATGGCACTACCTAACACCTAAATCACAATCTTTTCACCAAGGCACAAAAGACATAGTATGGTACAAAATGTGATTTTATGTTTCTTTTTTTCGTGTATGAAAGGGAGGTCAAAGGGGCTCTCAGGAGATCTTGCTTCAAGATCTCAAAAAGAATCTCATGACCTCTGGGCCTCTGGTTCTCTCTCTCTCTCTCTAAAACTAGACTCTCTCTCACTCCCCCTCTAGTTACCGAGAAGTAGAGACCCTTTCTTTCAACTATTCACAGCCACTCGGGAATCCTAAGAAAATATAGAGTGAGAAACAAAAGCTTTAGCAATACATCCATCATCTTCTTTCATACCTTTCTTCTGAAAATGAGGTCTTTATCAGATTATATGAACTCACGAACAATGAGAGACCTTATGTTCTAAAAGAATTCAATATCCTAAAAAATACAGTGAGCGTGAAGTTCATACCAAAACTATGCAAAATGATCCTTCCGGCGTACAGAAGAACAAAGAAAAATGATTGATTGCACCAATGAGTTTATGACACATCAAATCAATAAGCTGAGGAAATAAATTTTGAAAGTTATACAAGATTCAAGACAAGAAGCCTCCAAATTGTGTTTCATGGCTCAACTTAGGATGCATATGGGATCATCAGGGTCAATGGTTAGGACCACCAAGACAAAAGCCGCCTAGGTAGGACTTACCAAGAGCATAATCTAGATGGGTATGAAAAACATTCGAGCAATATTGACAACAATTGAAACATTCCGAGTTCAATTCGTGAGCTTCGAGTACATTTCCTGTCATTATCACCATTTCTAACCAGCTTGATCGTGAAAGCTCACTTTTAATTCTAACATAGACTGACTGTCATTTGAATGACTTCGATGATGGTTAAGATAGCTCGGGCTTTTGTGTGCATCGTGCCTAATCAATCCAACAAATAGAATATAGAGAGAGGTCAACAAAATTAAAAATTCATGCAATAATGAAGCATTGTTGCAAGATGCAAGGCCTCATTTTTGTAATTTCATTTGAATTTGAGGCTTTCTATAAAATTCTTTGATAAAAAAAAAAGGAACTAAGAAAGCACGTCAGAAACATCAATTTTACATAGAATAGACACACACATACATGAGTTTGTGCTCGCAAGTTATTGACATGAAATTTGAGATAATAATATATTTAAAATACTTTAAAAAATAAATAGAAATAAAAAAAATTAACCAAATTCCTCTCCATTCCTTCATAGCCAAACCATTGCCCTATCCCATCACTACCCATCTACAGTCGCCCACCATAGTCAGTAAAAAGGCCACGAGTTTTCTTCTTTTATTTCATATATTTTATAAAAATAAATTTTCAAAACAAGGGCTTCCTCTCATTTCGTTTGAGCAAACCCACAGTAGATCTCCTATTGGCTTCTCCCTCGGCTCATGATATCCCCCATATACTCTCCAAATCGAGAAACCCGTATTTTCTTACTTGTCTTCCTCCTCTCTCCATCTCCATCTTCTATATCACGCGAAGGCCAAAGCACTCCATTGCCGTAACCAGCCTCCCTCACTTCTTCGCTGCCACAGCTCACGTCGTTCTCCTCCAACAACCACCTTCATCAGCTCCCCTTTCTACCTGTGTGCACAGACAAACAGACACAAACCACTTTTTTCATTACTCTACCTGTGCGTACAAACTCCCATTTTCGCTACGCGTCCAGCCATAACCCAAGATTGGTATCCCTCACAGCTACAGCAGACGCTTAAGCCGCTCGATCTAACTAAATGTCTCTGCCTCACTGCTCTCTCGGACTCCGTTTCACGCAACCATTTCCCCCGCAGCTCGCAATCTCCCCCTCTGTCGCGTCCAACTCAACCAGCCCTGATTCATGCACATCAGCTTCCACTGAAACCACCTTTGCCCCCTTCTCCATCTCCAAGATCACGCCACCATTTCTCTGGCTTGATCTTCCCAAAAACTAAACTCTTTTCGTCTCAACCCCATCCCCTTCCAATAACCACTTTCACCTCTAACCCACAAACCCTTTTGCATATCGCTACAGGATTGGAGGAAAAATGAGCTGACAAAATATAATATTCTGTGTAGGTTATATTTTGGTTTAAAGTTAAACCTGTTTATGTTTTACAAATGATGAATCAGATTTACAATTCGGTAGAGTTTGGTGTTGTCACTGTTGTTAGCGGGGTTATATTATAATTTTACTTGAGCTGTATGTTTGCATTTTGTGTTCACCGTGCTGTACATATCGTCACTGCCCCACATTAAATATAAACATTCATTACACTTATACTCCTGAAATGCCAATTGAGATGTGTTTGTGTAATGAATAGAAACCTATATGTGTTTTTCATAACGTGGTGGGGCAAAATTCGTACGCGATACTCACGATGCAGTTGTAAAATCAAAATTAAGTACTTATACGCTCTATTTGAAGCACGGTGGGGAAATATGCAAATTTTATATAGATAGGCTATAAACGATGTTCGTAGCATGATAAGGTATGAAGTCTCGACTGCAATGGTTACACCACCCACATGCATTTTTTTTATAGTGCGCTAGATAAACCCAACTCCCTTAATGTTAGGAGGCTACCAAATTTTTGACTGACACAGACTTAAATTAAAGTTAGACTGAACTTAAAATAAAACGTTAAGTGTGCTTAAACAAAACCTTTGAAAATTCCATAAATTTGAACAAATTAAAATTTAACTAAATAAAAGAGTGAAATACAATTTTAAGAAATAAAAAAATTTAAAGATAAACTTACTTGAAAACTTAAAACTACAACTTCGAAGGACAAAAAAAAGTCTCTCAACGTTCAAAAGCTCCGTGATATACAATGAATTAAAGCCATTTAGCATCTCGTTATAGAATAAAAATGATGCCACAAGGGGGGCCGTCTGAATTATAAAAGAATACGAATTTTGCCGCCCAAATAAACATAAAAGCTTTGATGAATATAAACACAAATCTCGCCACCAAATAAATACAAAAACCTTAATATATATAACGATATAGATATAAATTTCGCCATCCAAGTGAATATGAATATCTCATAAAGCAACTCAAAATATAACAAAATTCAAAATCAAGAATTAATTTCTAATTTACTTAATCTCGCCACCAAATCCGCAACACAAACACACAAATAAAAAGAAAACAAATCTTATAATCAAAATGAATAATTTGTGTATATTTCAATATTATTATATTTGTCCAAAAAAACAAAATCTAAATATTTTGAAATATACACATTATCATGTTATATTTCTAATGCATTGAAATGTGTATAACTATATTATTCAAATGCTTTGAATATCTTATTAGTGCATTATATAGGTATATTGATGCATGTACACATATCAATATTAATCGCAAGCATATGCTCCTACGAACGTGTAAACGCTCAATTTTAAAGTCTGAGAATACTTTTCGGGCTCACATAAACTACGCTCTAAACACCAACATGTGCTCCATCGATCACCATAAACTATTAAACTCATGCGTTTGGAAATGTAATGCAGGTTAATTAAAAAGTTAAACTAAATTATAATTTGCATTGAAATGCATGCAAAGCTCTATAAAATCAGCCCAACTAGCAAATTTAAAACTTATGTATATGTTTCATCGCTTGTCTTAATTCACTAAACTTAAGCATCTGATAATGCTACGCGAGCTAATTGAATGCTTATGCTAAAACTAAATGTCTCGAAAAGACTGCACAGATTTTAAGACTTCACAAATTTTTTTTTAAATATCAAAAAGAAAATTATTAAATTACATATGCTTTGAGAGGACCACCTTGCCAAGGGCAAGGTCATAAATCTTACTTTCGCTTGTCAAATTCTCCTTCCTATAAAGATTAGAGTTGACAAGACTGAGCCCCAATTGAAACACTATACCAGTCTAATCCTCCTATTAACAGGGACAAGAGTTAATAAAACCTGCCCCTTTTTGAATGCACAAGCTATTAAACTAATCATATTAAAAAAAAAGCATTTTAGGGTTTGTTTATGGCAGCTGAAGTTTATTAAAAAATAGTTATGAAGTTGTTGAATGATAATATGATGCTCAAAAAATTATGGTGGCTATTACAATTATTTTTTTAAGTCAGACCGCAGCTAGAAAGCTGCCACCGCACCAAGCCAGAAGTGGTGGGAAAATGAAGATTTCAGGGGCAACTTTTTGGAAAAGTTGTCAAGATGCAGTTTACCCAAACAGACAAAACTGCAGTGGGGTGCCGCACCGCCGCCCCAAACGGACTTAATCATTTTTCTAATGATGTTTATATTAAAAGTGAATCTCAACCAGAGGGGTCCATCCTAAATTAAGCAAATCTCAAAGTCGAAAAATCTAAAAAAATAAATAAATATTCTATCACTTAAAACTAAGAGCAAACACTCATCCACACTCCACAATTATTGATTCCGGGTAACAAATCAATGTTGACTCCAGCTCACAAGAAGGGATATTTATCTTCATACTCAAAATAATCTCATGACAGTAAGGACATCACTTGAGTCTTTTATCTGCGTAATTTGTCCAATAGGTTCCATTAAAAGGCGGTTACAATAAGAGCCTCTGAACAAGAGAATTAGTCTGTAGGCTTCATCAAGTGATTTGACTAATAGGCTCCACTATAAAATGATTATGGATGCAGCCCGTACAATCCCCAATAGTATTTTACTCATTTGAGTTTTGAATTATAGGATATATCTAATAAGACATAAAACACTCTGCTAGCTAAAGTCAACGTAGATTAATTCCTTTAGACAAACATTCATCCTAGGTCTACAAGGTTCTCTTGGACGAAACAACTCATAGAGGCTGACAAAGATCCTTCTGTGCAAGAATCCTTCTGTCAAGTTTGGTCGACTATCTCCTCTAACTAAATTGACTAGCAATCACAACAATCCAAAATAACGGAACAATGGGATCTTAATCGGGTTTGTCATCATTTCCCCCACCATCCGCTCTAAGCTAAGTGATAATTATGTAAATTTTAAATTATAAATTTGTTGCTACAATATATTAAGTCTAAATACTTAAAGCCTAATGATTATATTAATCGAAAGTGCTCCTATTACCGACAGGGATAATTAACCAAAAGGGTTCTGCATCTATGAGAAACCCCAAACCCAATATCTTGAAGTTCTCGCCAACTAAGAACGAAATATCTACATAGTGTCTTATCTACTATTCCATCTTCTTTCTGAAATTTTGACCCAAAACCTCATGGTAAACTCTCTCATTTAATCATTTCATTTCAAGGGAGGCTGCGGCGTCGAATTTTTTGAGCCCACATTAAAATGAAAGAATCTAGCAGAAAAAATAATGATATTTTATAAATTACAAAAAGCTTAGAAAAGGGCGTTCACCCTGAGTTTTACCATCAGGCATGAGCATACCTGCAACGTATATTTTCCCCTCAATGCTTTGCGATATCCACAAGCATAACAAGCAACCATAGCTCCTGGAAAAAATGCTAGAATGCCTCCACTGAACAAACAACAAAGGCTATTGACCAGGCCCCATAAAATGAAATGTGTCATACAAGAACCAGCGAATGTTCCAGACCCTAGAAATTCTGCATTTTTTCCAAATAGGAAACAAGGGCAAACCGTGCCAATAACACCTATTAAAAAATAGCAAGGGATTATACAAAAAAAATAAGCGTGTCGATGCAAGAAGGTGAATGAGCATCTATTGAACTTAAGCTGTACTTATATGCAACTTAAAACATTCAATTTCCCACTAAAAGAGCAAAATAGAAAGCACCTCAAAATTGTGAATGGAAAAATTGTACTTGTGAATGGGTACTGAAGAAAACTAAAGAAGTATATTCATGACAAAATAGTGTTCAGAATTGAAATCATACAATATAATCATCATCAAAATCAGCACTTTCCGATCCATATGAAACTTGCTTCATCATTCATTCTTTTGCATTCTTTCCTTAAAATTATTGCATGTGGTGTAGACACTAAGCGCTGTATACAATTTTTCACAACTTTTAATTGGACTGCTTCTTTCCTGTTCCTCTTTGCATTGCTTTTATGTATCTTTCTCGCTGCATCGACTCCTCTCAAATATACATGCTCAAAACACTTCAAAATCATTTTTTTCTCAAACTATATTCAATAAGTGCTACCAACTCGCTACCTCAAATGAAACTATTTCATTTACTATTCCTCATAGAATTGTCAAACATCAATCTTCACATCTGAATGTAGGTCATTGTGATTTTAGTCCTTAAGATGTAAGGAAAATAATCAAATGATTTCTTAGAAATGTAACAATTGAAGCAAAAAAAAGAAAAAACAGACAGAAAAATAAACCAAAAGAAAGTATAATAAATTTATGAACTACATCCAAATGCATTAATAATTGCTTCATTCTTCTGGCATTTCTTATTGCTCCTATTTTGATGAGGGGTTTTGACACCACATTTTACTGGATTTTTATATTGTGGATTTCAATCATTAATTAGGCTATTAATCTAGTAATATATAATCATATAAATGAAAATCTAGGTGGTGGATGGGTGCTGCTTTCAGTCACAATGACTGAAAACATTAGATATGTGAACAAGAATAAATGCCTATGGATTATGATATGAACAAATTGCACCTTCTAATGTTTTTTTCTTCTCAAAATCAAGGGATCACAGGGCATAAAGTAGCATACAGCTCTGCATATCGTCACAACAAGCACAGATGCCAGAAGACCATGGAGAGGAATCAAGAGCAGCAGATTGAGGAGGACTGGTTTCTTCTGTCTCAGAAAAACCATCAGCTTCAGATTCCGATGGACGTAACGGAATATATGGAGGTGGAACATAACTGTCCGGCCCAGCCATTTTGCTGAAAGAAAAACATGCATCGATTCATCAAAGTTCAAATATATTTTTATTGATTGAAAGTATTTAAAACAGAAAAATGAAATGAATCGATAATTTTTTGACCACCAGACAGAACAAAACCCTCTCAGCAGCATTGAAATTTAGGTCAACAAGCCTATTTCCTCCTTAAAAAACAAGAAAAAAAGGGAAATTGTCATGGAAAGGGTGGTGCCCTAGGAAAAACAATTCCAATGTTCATAACTACATTTTCCAACTCAAGAAGGTTTTTACACTAATTTTTCACAAATCACAAAAAAACAGAATTAAAAGCATAAAGAATTCAAGTAAATCAAATGACCAGGAGTGAATCTACGAAAAAGCTACACACAGCATCAGATCCAGACATTCGACTCATCTAATGCAACAAAAAACAGCAAAAACTTCATTTTCTGCACTTAAAAACAAAAGAAAAAAGAAAAAAAAAACACCATGAAACCTATAGAAGTAAGAAAAATCTTAACCAAGCTCTGACTCCTGTAGATGTCCATAATTTTAAGAAAACACTATTGTCCGGTTCATGGCGATTGAGCAGAAAAAATACCCACTAAATCAGACCAAAAAAAGTGAAAAAATTAGAACTTCACAAAATATAAATTAGCTTACGAAGAGATTCTCTACGCAGATCGGACCAGTCTTGGCTTTCACGTGGCGGCAAATGAGATCTGCGGGAAGATGGGCAGTAGAGGTCTCCAAAAACCCAAACGTAGGACGGGTGAATCAGTTGTTCCGCAGGAACACTTTATCGTTATATAAAGTCACGTTGACTACAGCGAGCTACACTTTAAATTGGATCAATCACATTGTGTTGTAATAGATTGTTCCTGAACAGCTCGTGTTCGGCTCATTAAGCAGTTCGTGTTCAGCTCGTTCGTTAAGTAAAACGAGTCGAACAAGAACAATTTTCTAAGCTCGAAATGTAAACGAGCAGTGCACGAACAATTATTCGCTCGTGTTCGGCTCGAAATGGCTCGAAAAAAATATTATATAACTTTTTATATAACAATATATTACATATATTATTTATATAATAATATAATATATATATTTATGTCTAATTTTAAATCATAACACCTCATGTGGCAATGTGGTTAGTGTCTTTTTTGTATAGATTTGATTTAGGTTCGACTCTCACACTTTACATCAATTTTTCTCAATTTTAGTTTAACGAGCCAATTTCGAGCCGAACACGAATACAAATATTTAAATCGAGCCGAACATGAACACACTGTTCATGAGCCGATTTCGAACACGAACCGATTTCAAACACGAGCTATTTCGAATGAGCTGAACACGCTCGTTTACATCCCTACTCTATCAAAAAGGTTATATATAGGTTTGAGTGAGGAAATGAGCGGGTATACGAGTAATTTTTCTTTACTAATTTTTGTCGAAAAATTAGTAATTAAAAAAAAAAAAAAACATTTAGATTGGTCATTTTGGAATGTAGAGGTTATAAATGGCATAAAGTTAAGTTTTATTTATTCATTTGTTTTAGCTAGTTATTTATTTTCTTTTCGAACGCGATTGGGGCTTGAACGTGAATTGTGTTTCAAAATACATTTCAAGCATAATTAATTAACTAGTTTTTGGACGCCAATGATTTAAATATAAAACATTATTAAAAAACATAATTTAATTTATAGATTTTAATTAATCAGACATTGCATAATTCCTTAGGAACTGTTTCAGGCTTTTTTTAAGTCAAGTTTAAATATTGATAAAAATTTAAAAATTTTCAAATCTACTTATTTATTTGGTATTTTCGCCACATTTATATTTTAATAATATATATAATTTTTTAAATGTATAGTATATATGAAATTTGATAAATGAATATTGAATCATAAAAAAAAAAAAAATTATGTTATCTTTAAATGAGAATTTTATGAATATATTTCAACTCAACTGTTTCCAACAGTCATATGCACGAGAAGTGTACGCTAGGCAGGTTATTCAGAAACCTAACTGTACCTTCTTGTAGGTTTCACGCTTCTGTTTTCATAGTAAGGTAGGTTACAGGTGGTATAACGCGGATATAACCTCTCAATACCCTTTGAATAACCCCTCTGACATACGCAATGCTACGAACGTCTTATGTACACAATTTTTTCTCTATGGTTGGGCTGAAAATTCCCCAAAAATTAATCCCCCACAACACAATTTACCAAAAAAAGGGGTCAATTACATATAGACCATCTGAAACTTGTCATTTACATATCAACTACCCTTTTTTATCCATTTTTCAAATTCTCTCACAAATATCAAAATTCATGGTAAAACCCTATCCCATATTATTCAATTTTATCAAATTCTTGATAGTTGTGGCGACTCTTTATTGGACTCTGAGTTATTCGGAGTCATGACTTAATATTTTCTCGAGCATTCAGGTGGGTTCAAACTTCTGATGGATCAACTGAAAATTGCTGAAATAGTTTGGGACGAAAAATTAAAATTTAAAAAATTATCAATTAAAAGAATTAAATTGAATTTGATTTAAATAGCTCAATTATGAATAAATAAATATTTAATTATGAACAAATATCATGAATTATATATCTTAAGTATATAATATCAATTTAATTTCATGAATCATCTTTCTATTTTACATATATGATAAACTTTAATGTTTACATGATATTAAAATATAGAAAAAGCTACATGCATACCAATTAATTCCTAACACCAAAGTTTTAATTTTTACATTAACGTGACAGTATCAATGTATGAAAATACATATTCATCTTTTAAACATTAAAATTGTAATATTTTGAAAGATTTGAGTGGTATAAGTTAAAAAAAATGAAGCTTTGGCGATAGATATATAAATACATAGAAATTGGGTGGTATGTATAATGTATGTAAATGCCACTAAAATATAATAAGAAAATTGAATTAACGGTCAAATTAAAATTCAAAGCTAACCAAGTACCAAAAGAGAATTCTGGAATTAAAATTTGAAATACATTGTTAAAATTGAAATCAAACAATAAAATTTGCTTGATTCGGTTCAATATTTTTGTTTTGACCAACAGCCACTTTTAGTTGACAAAGAAATTAATCCAAAGCATGCTCGTAACATCGTAGTTTTCACTTTAAGGTAGGTTACAGGGAGGTTACAAGTGTTATAACGCGGATATAACCCCTAAATACCCTCTGAATAATCTCTATGACTTACGCAGCGCCGTGTACATCTTAAGCACACAAATTTTTCTCCGTGGTTGGGCTTAAAATTCCCCAAAAATTAATCCCTCACAACACAATTTACAAAAAAAAAAGGGTCAATTACATATAGACCATCCGAAACTTGTTATTTACATATCAACTACCTTCTTTTATCCATTTTTCAAATTCTCTCACATATATCAAAATTCATGGTAAAACCCTATCCCATATTATTCAATTTTATCAAATTCTTGATAGTTTCATTGTGGCACACGTAAATATATCGGTACAATAGTTAAAAAAATCACATATGTGCTTAATTTGTAAATTTCAATGCTTTGGGCGGTTTGTGAGTGATTATTTCATATATATATATATATATATATATATATATGACTTTTAAACACTTATGCAATCATCTTAGTTAATCCTAAGCCATTTGATCTTTTCTAGAGCTGAGCAATAAATGATTGAGATTGACTCAATTTAATTTATGAGTGATTTTTAAATTTAAATTGAAACTAAACTTGAATAAAAATTTTACCTATAATCAAAATAAAGTAATAAAATAAATTATTATCTATAAATATTAACTGTTTAAAGATTTATTGATATTAAATAATTAATAATTTGGCATAGATTGTAAGGCTTCAACTTTTTAACAAAAATCAATTAAGTTTTATTCATGTTTTTATTAATTTTTTTCATTTAAGGGAAAAAATTGTCTCTTAAAATGATAATTCATAATAAAAATAAATATGATAGGATATAGAGGTTTTTACATGGTCACTACTTAAAATTTAAAATATTACAAAACAGTCACCCAAACCCTTGATATTTCAATCTGATCGCCCGAAACCTTTAATCCATTAATTTTGGCCACCCCACCCTCGCCCCGCTCATGCCTGTTTCCCTTTATCACATTGCGTCTATCGCTCGTCTCCCTTTGTAGCTACCTCTGTCACCCTCTTATACGGAATGTCTTCTGTCGTCCCCTGCTTATTCCCACATCTCCTCTTCGCACCACACAACCGCGGCAAGCTGTGATTAAAAAAAAATTATTGCATCAGGACTTCTAATGCAAATTTGCGTCAGGTTTTAACACTTTTAAAAAGCAGCCGACTAGTGTATTTCAGTAGGGTCTATTTTTTGATGTTGCCAAGTTTAATTGAACATCTTGTTGCAATAATTTCTGGTGATCAAGGGACACTAAAATCACGAAACACTATCATCCCCTTTCGGCCCACTCTTTTCATCCATAAAGCCTCGCCTACCTTCTTCTTCCCCTTGTCCCTCCATTTGTCAAAATCCTCACAATACATTTGAGCCTAAAGCTTGGCTTGCTTGTAGCATTCAATGAACTCTGAAACGCCCATCTTTCTCCCCTTTTTCTCCCAACCCCTCTCCGTCCGCTTCCGATCCCATGTGCCTTCCAAAGGATCTATTAAAATCCGAGATTTAAAGCAAGACAGAAGATAAACGGGATTTAAGATGTTTTAGGATTTATATATTTCATTTTAAATGTTTATGTGGATTTATATTTGTTATCATTTTAAAGAGAAATGAGATCTAAGCTTTTACAGATCTCCTTTACTGTTTGGAATAATTCATACTATAATGTTGAAATTTTATGGTGATTTTGTAAAACTGAAAGTCTTAGGTGGTAGCCAAGTTAAACCCCCTTTTTTGGGGGTTTTTACTCAACTGTAATGTGGAAGTGGTATGTATGCAAATCCACCACTATATTTGTCACACTGCATTTGTGTAAGAACCTGCAAAATGGTGGATTCACATGCTATTATATTCTCTCTCCTATTGTCCATCTCCATTATTCATATTTTTGTGGTTCGTTATGATTTCATAGAAATTGTGTTTCATTGTGAATTTTTGTTTTGTCAAGGTTCAAAAGAAAAGTTAACTTATTGTTATTATTGTGAGTTAAAAGCCGTTGATTCTTATTTCATTTTATGTATGAAACAAGTATGAGTTTAACCTAGTCATCAACAGCTACATGCACCACTCGAAACAGTAATGTGTACTGCAGTTGCAAATTGTCATGCATTAAATACAATGGACATACAAAGGAGAATAATGACAATCAATTTTATCGATGCCCCTGAAATCAAAAAAATAATGATTGTAAGTTCTTCAAATAGGTAATCCACTATGGACTTCAAATTGATGATGAAATGGACAGAAAGAAGCTTAATGCTATCACATTTCTTTTGAAGATTTTGATTGGAATCATTGTTGCAGGCTTCATTTAGCTGGCGTATGGTTAGTTTATGATGTATTTGTAGGGGAGTCATTTTGTGCGGGCATACATCAATGTCTGTGGATGTTAAATATCGGAAGATTTTATATTTGTTATTATATATCTATGGTGTTATAAAGACGACTCTATTTTTGT